TGCAATGTGAACGTGCGAGATTTGGTCTCTCCGCGCCTGTTCGACCGTTCTCCTGTTCCCGTACAGTGGCTGCTGAAGATCAAAACCAACCGTCCGGTAAGTACAGGCGATGAAACCAGGCCTCGAGGAAGCAAACACACAACTGCATTGTTGATTGAAAGTCACTGTGTCTCCTATCTAACCCGGATTCCCATTAGGCCAAAAGCCCAACACCCGTCCTCCTCCATCAGACGCACGCCCCCGCCAGCCTCGCAAACCCAGTGGCCCTCCGGCTCGTCCCAAACAGAATCAACCTCGCCCTGCTCGAGTGGTTGACGCAAGGTCATTTGCTGCAACAAAAGCTAGCGGTGGAGAGCAACCCAAGATCATTCGCAGCCCGAGATTGCGCACCGCTCGCGGCGGCAACCAAGGCCAAAATCGGAAACCCAAACCCTCCGCCAAGGGCAAGGGTCCACGGAAGGACCAGCGCCGAAACGCAACTTCATTTGAAAACGCCGAGGGCGAAGAGGCCGAAGCGGCGGCTATTGAGGCCGTTGAGCAAGAGCAAATCTTGAAAGACCGGCCCGTTCCTATTCGCTATGAGCCTCAGGAAATCACCTACTCTACATTGAGAGAGACTTGGCCTTCAATTCCCACAGATGCGAACTCGCGCTCCGCTGCCGTTTACGAGAAGCTTGTCAGCCTAAGCGGTCGCTTTGCCAATGGCTACGTCCCGCCTCATGAGCTTGGAAGACGCATCTGGAAGGGTCAAAGCGTTCTTTTCAGCAGTGAGGCCGAGAAGGCTGAGGCTCTGGAAGAGACTAAGCGGTTGGCCCAGCTTCGGGCAGACCAGATTTCACAGCGCAAGGGTGACCTTGTGGAGCCTCGCACTGTTGAATTCAACCCCATCAATGCGGAGAGCACCAAAACTCTCATGGAGACGCTCGCGCAGGGCAAGTATCCAACGGCCGAGGCTAAGAAGGAGGGGCCAGCCGTATTGGGCGAGGTGACAAGAAATCTCATGAACAATGGGACATACCAAACAACTGGGAAAACCTCTCAGTTCATGGCCAAGCTCGAATCACTTGTCTCTGGCAGCACCAAGCGTGCCTGATACTATGCGAGGACGAGGACCAGTGGTAGATGTGACTTGTATTATATAGTTTTGTTTCGGTTCATTTCTCATTTTTCTCCCATATCTTTCCCGATTATGTCTGTATCTAAGTTACAAAGTCATTATTTTACAAGCACCGTGTTCCTCGGCTGGCCGACAATATTTTATGCCTGCTCCAGGGTCTTTTTGGCCGCTTCAAATGCATCCTTGAGATCTTTTTGACCTTGATCGGTGACCTTCTCCATCTGATCATGAGCTTTGCGAACATCATCTGGTCGAGCTAGTTTCTTTTTCTGCAAGTCCTGGAGACGTTTGTGCATGGCGCCTCTGCAATCGCGTACTGAGCTAGAGGCCCTGTCAAATGCTTGCTTAGCAGTTTGAATGTTTTTATCCCGGGAATCCTTTGTGGGCGGTGGAATGGGAATGTTGAGTTGGAGGGCGTTGTGGGCATCGGGTTGCGGAGTCAAGGATAGGTTCGAGGATATGATAGCCGAAATAAGAGGTTTGATGTGCTGCGCAAGATATTAGAATTGCTCTGATTTGAAAGTGCACGTCGATAGTCAAACTCACGTCCTCTTCTGCGGCCAAGAGAGTGACCATCCGTCCTCCCTTGGGTACAACCTGAGCCAGATCTCCTAATTTGACTGACTCCTTAGACTCCTTGCTCAGCTGAACCTTCAAATTCTCCAGGAGAGCGGTATTGAACCGCCCTCCCGCGCGAAGCTTGGACAAATCATCTTTGAGCCGAGCGACAGTCGTGGAAATGCCGTTGTGCAGTTGAGAGAGATCAAAGGGATCTTCAGCAGAGCTCGAGCTTTCTTTTGGCTCAGGAGCAGAACTCTGTTTGGCCTTGTCCTTTTTTTTGTATAGAGCAGGGGAGTTGGCAAAGTTACGTCTGTTCAGAGGAACTAAGCACTGAGTCCGAGGCAAGAGACACGACCGAGGGTTCAAAGGGCGCGTGACCGCAAGGCGAGGACAGACAGAGCGGAATGATTGGGAAACGATACGTTGCATGGCGGAAGCAATTGGTGTAAAAAAGTTGGAGAGCAAAAGTTGGAGAGCAAAAGTTGGAGAGCGGAAACACGAAGTTTTGCAGTCCCATTTCCACCATCCCCGCCTTGGCCCGAAACGCACGGCCTTCTACAATTACAGAGAAAAGCAGGAAATCATCACAATGTCATTAAATTGCAAATGGCGAACTTCGTCTACAAAAAAAAAGCAAAACAAATCATACTTTTCAAGAAAAGAAAACTGCGCCCAAGTTGCCCGGCTTAAACAAAGCATGACAGAGACCAACTCTGCCCAAGGTCTAGATGGTGCAGATTCCCTGAGAAGTAGGGTCCCGGGAAAGAGAAAAATTCGTTGGCCGTAAGTCTATGTTCATGTCTTCCCATGTATATCATGGATGCATTTACCGTGTGGCCATGGCCTTGGTAATCAGGCGCTTGAGGGCGAGCTCCTTCTTCTTGAGATCCTCGGGAGTGGAGTCCTCCACCTCGAGCTGGGCCATGGCATCGCTGAGAGCGGACTCAATGCGCTCCTTGTTGCCACGCTTGAGCTTCATGGACATGCCAGGGTCGGAGACGATCTCCTCAACACGGGAGATGTAAGACTCGAGCTGCTGGCGAGACTCGAACTTCTTGGTGAAAGCCTCGTCGCTGGTCTTGAACTTGGCAGCATCTACATGACGTTAGTCAGTATTGGATTGAAAATTAACTTGGGGTGGAAGGAAAAACATACCGTCAACCATCTGGTCGATCTCAGCGCTGGAGAGCTTGCCGACAGCGTTGGAGATGGTGATGTTGGCCGTGCGGCCGGAGGTCTTCTCGGTGGCGGTGACCTTCAGGATACCGTTGACGTCAACCTCGAAGACACACTCGAGAGCGGCCTCACCGGCGCGCATGGGAGGGAGAGGAGCGAGAGTGAATTCGCCCAGGGAGGTGTTGTCAGCGCAGTTGGTACGCTCACCCTGGTAGACGGGGAACTGAACGGTCTGTTGGTTGTCGACAACAGTGGTGAAGGTACGCTTCTTAATAGTGGGGACGGTCTGGCCGCGGTTAACGACGGGGGCGAAGATGTTGCCCTCCATGGCGACACCGAGAGAGAGGGGAACAACGTCCAGAAGGAGGAGGTCCTGAGTCTCGGCGGAGGTGGCCTTGCCGGAAAGGATACCGGCCTGGACAGCGGCACCGTAGGCAACAGCCTCATCGGGGTTGATGCTCTATACAAGACATGTAAGTGGATGTAAATTGCCTGATTTTGGAGTATGATCTTACCTTCTCGAGCTTCTTGCCGTCGAAGAAGTCGCTCAGGAGCTTCTGGATGCGGGGAATACGGGTGGAACCACCGACAAGGACGATCTCATCGACCTTGCTCTTGGGGATACCAGAGTCCTTGAGGACCTGCTGGACGGGGTCCAGGGTGCCAGAGAAGGCCTTGGCGTTAAGGTCCTCGAAACGGGCACGGGTGATGGAGGAGTTGAGGTCCTCACCGTCGAAGAGAGAGTCAATCTCAACGGTGGTCTGGGTGGCGTTGGACAGAGTACGCTTAGCACGCTCGCAAGCGGTGCGCAGACGACGAAGAGCACGGGCGTCACCGGAGAGGTCCTTGCCGGTCTTCTTCTGGAACTCCTTCTTGAAGTGCTCAAGGAGGTTGGTGTCGAAGTCCTGACCACCAAGGTGAGTGTCACCAGCGGTGGCCTTGACAGTGAAGACACCACCCTGGATGTTCAGCAGGGACACATCGAAGGTACCACCACCAAGATCGTAGATGAGGACGTTGCGCTCCTTGTCAGACTTGCCGGAGCCAAGACCGTAGGCGATAGCGGCAGCGGTAGGCTCGTTGATGATACGGAGAACGTTGAGACCAGCGATGGCACCAGCATCCTTGGTGGCCTGACGCTGGTTGTCGTTGAAGTAAGCAGGCACGGTAATAACGGCCTTCTCGACCTTCTTGCCGAGCTTGACCTCGGCAACCTCCTTCATCTGTTTCAGTGCATCAGTAAGTCATTTCTTGTATATGTATATATTGGATGTTTCGCCTTACCTTCATGAGGACCATGGAGGAGATCTCCTGGGGGAGAAGGTCTTGGTCTCGCCGAGGTACTCGACCTGGACAACGGGGTTACCACCCTGGTCAATGACCTTGAAGGGCCAGGACTCAACATCCTTCTTGACGATGGGGTCCTCGTAGCGGCGACCGATCAAACGCCTGTTCCGAGTCAGACCAAAACCCAGGAAAGAAATTGCTTGGAACGCGCATGAATCGAAAACAGGCGCAAAATTTCAAGAACTCACTTGATATCGAAGATGGTGTTGGCCGGGTTCATGGCGGCCTGGTTCTTGGCGGCATCACCAATCAGACGCTCCTTGTCGGTGAAAGAGACGAAGGAGGGGGTAGTGTAGCTACCCTGGTCGTTGGCAACTGATCATACGGTCAGTTTATGCAGAAAATTTCGATGGAGAAAAAACGTACTGATCTCGACATTGGTACCCTCGTAGTTGGCAACGCAAGAGTAGGTGGTACCTTGAAAAAGAAGCATTAGTTGTGCGTCCACATATTTGAGAAAATAAACTCACCCAAATCGATACCGACGGCACCGTCGAAGACCTCAATGTCGGCCATTATGAGATAGGGAAATAGTAATTGGGAGGAATGGGAAAGAGAGGGATGGTGGGGGAAAGAGGAAATTTTTTATCAACCCGAGTGCATATTTAATCGGAGCCACAAAAACCCAGAAAATTTTTCGGGAGCGGTGAATCACGTGCGAGGGCTATATACTTCTACGAATGTGAGGGAGTACGAGAATAATTATCTGGAAATATGGAACTGTATTAACTGTAGAAATGTATATATTAAATTAATGTTCAATGTATCATGTATATGTACACCTCCTCCATGCTATCCGCTAAATTTCATCAATATCCATAGGATCACATATATCATTCAAGTCGTCTTCGCCCTTCTGATTCGGACTCTGACTCTGACTCGCACTTGCATTCGCACTCTCCGCTCTCGCTCGTTTCCGGGATTCCAGTATCGCTTTTCGTATATTGTCCTTATCCTTGGGCACTGTAAGGGAAGCCGGTTCTGTGTAGAGAACCAGTTCTTTTCCCGATTGCTGGGAAGATAAAACCGAGGCAGGCACCGAAAGCAACTTTGTAGCAAGAGGCGAGAATATAAGCCCATCGGGGGAATCACCTTCGAGTTCTTGATCCAGGTTGTGGATGTAGGTCGTATGTTGAGTGTCATCCAACAGCATCATATCTTCCTTCCCTTCCCCTTTGGCCCGAGCGGAGATTGGCACGCTATCTAGGAATGCGTCAACTTTGACCCCTTGGAAATTGTTCCTCAACTCACCTATTCGCAAGCATCCGAATTTCTTTGTTAACGGTTGCGCGCCATCGGGATCACCTTGGGCCGGGCGCTTCTTCCCGTGGCCTTGGATTTCCTCCATCCAGGAAAAAGAAGAGAAATCAACTTCCTCGGATCTAAGGCGTACACAGTACACAGTACACAGGTCCGGGGGTCATTCTTGAAGGATCTCGCTCAATGCGGGTTTCTGGGATGGTGAGGAACGGGGAGGCTTTGACTCATCTCTTTCGAAACCACCCCAGAACCTTCTACCCTCGTTTTGTTCACTCCTTGTCAACCAACCCACCTACAGTCAAAATGACTTCCGTTGGTTCTGAATGGACCGCTCTGCGAGTCCGAGAAACCTTCTTGGATTATTTCAAGCAAAATGGTCATACCTTTGGTAGGAGCCGCCCGCGATTCTTTTTTCTCATACCCCTCCACCCCGCCACATAGACTGACTGGAATGGCACATAGTACCTTCGTCCCCCGTCGCTCCTCTCTCGGATCCGACTCTCCTATTTACAAATGCGGGCATGAACCAGTTCAAGTCCATCTTCCTGGGTACCGTTGACCCATCCTCGGACTTTGGAAAGCTGAAGCGCGCCGCAAACTCGCAAAAGGTATTGAAGCTTTGCCGGGGAACTGAAACCCCAAAATGGAGAGCTATTGCTGATCTTGATAATTAGTGTCTTCGTGCTGGTGGTAAACATAATGTTCGTTTGTCCCTGGATCAATTCATAGAGGGGCGTCAGTATACTGACTAGTCTTGTGCAGGATCTGGATGATGTGGGCAAGGACAGCTATCATCATGTGAGCTTCCAGAATACCATATCTACCCAAAGGAACACTGACTCAACGCTCTAGACCTTCTTTGAAATGCTCGGCAACTGGAGTTTCGGCGATTACTTCAAGAAAGAAGCAATTACATACTCCTGGACTCTTCTGACAAAAGTCTATGGACTGAACCCCGATCGTCTCTATGTCACATACTTCGAGGGCAACGAAGCGGGTGGGTTGGAACCGGACCTGGAGGCCAAAGAGTTGTGGAAATCCGTCGGTGTTCCCGAATCCCACATTCTTCCCGGCGATATGAAAGACAACTTCTGGGAAATGGGTGACCAAGGCCCTTGTGGACCTTGCAGTGAAGTCCATTACGATCGGATCGGCGGGCGTAATGCTGCCCACCTTGTCAACCAAGACGACCCGAATGTGCTCGAGATCTGGAACAACGTTTTTATCCAGTACAACCGCGAGCCTGATAGCTCCCTGCGATCTCTTCCCAACAAACATGTTGACACTGGAATGGGTTTCGAGAGACTGGTGTCTATACTCCAGGACAAATCTTCCAACTATGATACAGATGTTTTTACTCCCATCTTCCAGGCTATTCAAACTGTCACCGGAGCCCGCGAATACCGCGGCAACTTTGGTGCTGACGACCCTGACGGTATTGACACTGCCTACCGTGTTGTTGCAGACCACGTGCGAACCTTGATGTTTGCTATCTCGGATGGTGTTATCCCCAACAACGAGGGCCGTGGATATGTTATTCGTCGTGTACTGCGTCGAGGCGCTCGGTATGCCCGCAAGTACTTCCAGGTTGATATTGGAAACTTTTTTGCCAAATTGGTCCCGACCGTTGTGGATCAATTGGGTGATATGTTCCCTGAACTCAAGCGCAAGCAACAAGATGTTATTGAAATCTTGGACGAGGAAGAGTTGTCATTTGCTAAAACCCTGGACCGAGGTGAGCGACAGTTTGAGCAGTATGCCCAGCAAGCTAAGGTCAAGGGTACCGACAAGCTCCATGGTGCCGATGTTTGGAGACTGTACGATACCTTCGGATTCCCTGTTGACCTGACTCGCATCATGGCCGAGGAGCGTGGCCTTCGTATTGATGATGTCGAGTTTGAAGAAGCCCGCTTGAAGGCGAAGGAGGCTAGCAAAGGCCAAAAGAAGGCCGCCGAAACCACCGTCAAGCTTGATGTCCACGACCTAGGGAAGCTGGAAAAGATGAATGACGTCCAAAAGACAGATGACTCTGCCAAATTCGGCCGAGGCAATATCACTGCTCATGTCAAGGCCATCTACCATGCTAAGAGTTTCCATAACAACACTGACAATGTCCCCGACGGAGCGCAGCTTGGTGTTATTCTCGACTGTACAAACTTCTACGCCGAGCAGGGTGGCCAGGAGAATGACACCGGTAAAATCATCATTGATGGACAAGCGGAGCTTGAGGTTGGCGATGTCCAGTCCTATGCCGGATACGTTCTGCACACTGGCTTTATGAAATACGGGTCATTCGCCGTTGGCGATTCTGTTATTTGCGAATACGATGAGCTCCGGCGCTGGCCCATCCGAAACAACCACACCGGCACCCACATCCTGAACTTCGCTCTGAAGGAGATTCTAGGCGATGGCGTGGACCAGAAGGGCTCCCTTGTGGCCCCTGAAAAGCTTCGCTTCGACTTTTCCCACAAGAGCGCAATTTCCGACGCCGAGCTTGAGAAGATTGAGGCAAAGGCGACTGAATACATTCGACAGAATTGCTCTGTCTACTCCAAAGATATTCCTCTCGCTACTGCTCAGGAGATCTCAGGTGTCAGAGCTGTGTTCGGTGAGACTTACCCTGATCCTGTTCGTGTTGTCTCTGTTGGTGTGGAATTGGAAGAGATTCTACAGAACGTCAAGGATCCACGCTGGCAGGGAGTCAGCATTGAGTTCTGCGGTGGAACCCATGTCCAGAAAACCGGTGATATCAAGGATTTGGTCATCCTGGAGGAGAGCGGTATTGCGAAGGGCATTCGCCGAATTATCGCCGTCACTGGAGAAGAGGCCCACGAGGTGCAGCGTGTTGCCCAAGACTTTGGGAAACGCCTTGACCGGTTGAATGCATTGCCTCTGGGTTCCGAAAAGGAGCAAGAGGCCAAGCAGGTTCAGGTCGACCTCAACCAGCTTTCAATTTCTGCCGTCGAGAAGGCCAAGTTCAGAGAACGCTTTGCCAAAATCAATAAGCAGGTTCTCGATGGCCAAAAGGCCCAACAAAAACTGGAATCCAAGAAGGCAGTCGACACCATCACTTCCTACTTTGAGGCCCCAGAAAACAAAGACAAGTCGTGGCTTGTGATCCAGCTTCCAATCTCGGCCAACGCAAAGGCTGTGAGCGAGTCTCTCAACCATGTCAAGTCGAAGCTGCAAGGCAAGAGTGTCTATCTCTTGGCGGCAGACTCTGAGCAAGGTCGGGTTTCACACGGCTGTTATATCTCCCAGGTGAGTAGTAAAAGCACAGCTCTCCGCGACAATCTTACGCTCGTTCAAGTACTGATTTGCACCTAGGATCTGAGCACCCAAGGTGCTTCGGCGAGCGATTGGGCAGCCGTTGTTTCTGGTGCCGTGGGAGGAAAGGCAGGTGGGAAGGGTCCCACTTCTATTGGAAACGGTACAAACTCAGACAAGGTTGAGGAGGCGATCGCGCTGGCTTCGGATTATCTGAGCAAGTTCAAGCTCTAGTCCGAGTGCAGATGGGATTCGATCGTATGAAGGCGTGCAGACTATGAAATGTCGAAAAGTCTACTTACTAGCACCGGAAATTGACATCTTTTCATGATTCTTCTAACAATGATACGTCTGTGGCCTGGTTCTAGAAGGTTGTTTCAATTGCAGGTAATAATAGTATACAGCTGTCTTGTAGCATCAACACGGTGCTTCTTTCTCGTTTCTCACATCTCTCCGCATTGCACAATCGTTACATCTTGGTTGGGCTTTTCCTTGCTGGTACGAGTGTTTTCGATCATATGAATAATCTCCATCCCGTCAATCACTTGGCCAAAGACCACATGCTTGTTGTTCAAGAATGGTGTGGCTGTAGTCGTGATAAAGAACTGGCAGCCATTGGTGTTGGGGCCCGAATTCTACTATTCTCAGTGAATACTCTGGAGAAAGCCAGGAAATGACTTACTGCCATGCTTAATAGACCAGCCCGGTCATGGGTAAGAGTGAAGTTTTCATCGGCGAACTTCGAGGTGCCGTAGATGGTGCAGGACCCAGTTCCATCGCCATTGATGAAATCCCCTCCCTGGATCATGAAGTCTTTGATCTATAGAACTTAGTTTGGAGTCTGTGAGACACGATTTTCAACACATACCACTCGGTGAAATTTGCTTCCCTTGTAGCCTTGGGGTTGTCCCTTGGGGGTTTTGCTTTCCCCAGTGCAAAACTGTCGGAAATTCTCTGCTGTTCGCGGGGTGACATTTGCAAACAATTCGATTTTCACTCGCCCAAGGGATTCGCCTAGAATATGTTAGTATCAAGGACTAGGACAAAGAAGGGGCAACTTACCCCCAAGGGCAATATCAAAGAAAACCACTGGGTTTGATTCCATGGCGAAGGTTGGAAGGGGTGAAGAAAGGAGGTTTTGGCTTTCAACTAGGGAGGTTCGACAATGTAACAATATAACTACTTCAGAGTATACAAAGGATGATTTAGTCAGGGATACAGTTGCCTTGCCTCACAGTCTCATCCCCTCTCAAAGCTTTATGTACTTGGTACCTCTGTAGCAGCGCTGGCATCATACTAATCAGAGGTACCAGCGACAAAGCAGTCCCGTGACCCAATCTCAGTGATCCGCATGCATCCATTACGAGGTCTCCTCTCGCCATCCTTCCTCTCCTCATCTCTCTTGCCTTTGGGGGTTTACTTCAGGGGGTGATATGTTAAGGCATTCACTTTCTCTTCCCAGGAAGTTCTGTGGGTGTATTGCTTACGGTCGATCTTCCATGGGCTGTCTTCAATTTTAGTTACCAAGTACGCTCATGGTAACCTTTCAAATCTTTTATCACATACCTACACTTGAAGGTCGTTACACCTGGGTTCTGGTTTAAAAAAAAAAAAAAAAAAAAAAAAAAAGAAAGAAAGGCCAACCCACGGGACCATCTCGTACGAGGCATGAAGATTTGACTTGGGGGCAACTGAACTCCAGTGAAACTACTCGATCCAGATCGTGTGATTCTTCTTATCGCTGATCGCAATGTCTGCAACAACGACATCGGCTTCGGTCAGCGCAGCTACTACCACTGCTGGCAACAGCGGGGGAGGTTCAGGTTCGAACAATGCTACAAGCTCACCTTTGCTGTTCTTTGTCGCTCTCGGCTTCGGCGTCGTCTTCACAAATCTATGGTATGTTGCTTCCATTCCCCCCTTGCCTAAGCTTTCTGCGTATTCTGGAATCTGACTGTCATTGCAGGATCATCGTTGGCGTCAAGTACTGCTTTCGATATAACCAACGAAACCGTCAGCTACGCAGTGAAGAAGCCGGAGAACCTATAGATCTAGCCACAATGCCTCGGGCTCATCGCCGAAGGAGGGAGAAAAAGCTGATGACAATGGACGAGGTAAACGAACGGTTTCCACTGGTCAAATACAAAGTGTGGAGGTCATCTCGCGCAAACCAAGGTCTTTCCACAGAAGGAGGCATAACAGCACCAAACAGCAGGCCTCAGAGCCTGAAAGATGGAAATGAGATTGTGAAAACATCGGTTGATATTTCCACACCTGCAGTATCGCCATCCGAGGTCCATGAACGTCCGTATTCCAACACAGCACAAACGATTTCCCAAGATTTGCATGTTGGTTGTCCAGCACAGTCCCCGGACGAAAAGATACCCACGGTATCAAGAATGTCTTCGACCGAACAGGGCACTGGTGCGAACGAAGAGGAGCGTACTTTGGCCAACGATAGCGTTCACACGGACATTGAAGACGAAGATGATGGCGATCACATCCAGAAAGCCGTTCCTACTGATCTTTTGCCCAATCCTGGCGATTCTTGCGCCATTTGCCTGGACATCATTGAGGACGATGATGACATCCGGGGACTTACATGCGGACATGCTTTCCATGCCTCGTGTGTTGACCCTTGGTTGACGAGTAGAAGAGCTTGTTGTCCTCTGTGCAAAGCCGATTACTATGTTCCTAAGCCCCGTGCGCAGACGGAGACACAGTCCGGCACAGATCGACACGGACATCGTATCGCCTCCATCCGCGCGGATGCAATTCTCAGACCTCCTCGGGCTGCCCGCAATCGAAGTCGGGAAAATGGGTTCCGTGTACATATGATCTTACCGGGTCGAATGTTCCAAACGACCTCACAGGAACGAGAGGGATTCCCGCTTCGAGAACCACGTGCGCAGCGCAGTCGCGATGAGTTCTGGGGATCAGAACATCCAAATCAGTCTTCCTGGCCGCGGTTTGTCCCAACTCGTCTCCGTCAACTTTCCTCCCGCTTTTCCTCTTCTAGAGATCCTCATCCGCCACCCGAAGTTGAACCTTCATCTGCTGAGGCTATATCTTCGGATCGGCGTACACCTGGCCAAGTGGAAGCCGGTACCACATGATATTCAACTTGCCTTCTTTTTTCATACTTCACACCTGATTCATGCACGAAATACCTTTTTTTGTGTTCTTTAACTTATGCTGAAACCACATCTGGAATGTTGGTTGGGACTTTCACTGTTTATGACATGATATGTGTAATTATCTACTGGCGGGGAACTAGGACTGGGGCGTACACTTCTCGTGATCTTTGTGTGCGGACATCAATTTTTCGCTTTATCCCTCGACATATTCCATCCTAATATGACATTTCTACGTAGCGCCATCAACATCTACTGCTTCTGTGCTAAATCTTGGTCCATGCAACAAGTGATTTGAGTTGTATTGTTGCAATATTCTCCCAGAGGTTGCGCAACGGATGCGTGGGATGTAGTCAAATAATTGTGGACAGCACAACAATCACAGGTGAGCTTGACGGTATCTTTTTTGACAATTTCTTTTGATATACGTTTGGTCTTAACTAGCTTAAATCAAGACAAATCTGAACTGAACTTGGGACATAATAGCACACATAATGCAACGCATTGGCCTCGGAATGAAATAACCCCTAGGGCATCCATGTTTCAACGTCCTCACATCTGCGTCTTGGGAGCCCCTACACCAGCGCTAATGACGCTGGGCAGTTCCTGCGAGCCCATGCTAAAGAGCATTCCAATAGCACTGCCGACCAGCACAATGGCTAGAAGACTGACACCCGCAACAAGAAAGAACGGTGAGCTGATATCTCTCTTTTGGCAAGCCGAGCCACCCCACTGGACTGTTTTGGTAGTGCCATCACTGTTCCTAATGACACTTTGTTGACATTGGCACGCATAACAGTTGCCAGTGGTTCCTTCAACGCCTGAACCATACTTCAAGTAACAAGAGCCGTGTCCAGAACAATTGTTGGTGGCTTCGGCACATGATGAATTTGAAGCGTGACAGACAGGTGCCAGGGTTGACTGTAACGGTTGTGTAGACCGTTTGAATGTATCCTGCTTTGCTATGGATCCAGATTGCTGGTTCACATCCTGGCGGCTAAGTGGCTTTGACTGGAGGCCACGAGGTAGAATGATAGCTGTGATTTCGCGCTCACCGGTTGACGAAGTCTGGGCCAGTTGGCGAATCAACGACTGCAGAGTTTTACTCGCAAGAAGGGAGTCACCCGAATCGGTCTATGGTTGATACAATCAGATTGCGCTCTCAGTGGTTTGGGGGAGACTAAATACCTTGAAAGAAAGCTTCAAAGCCGAGTTCTCTTGACTCTTACTTGCCCAAGTTTCCACTGAGTCAACAAGTTTAAGGAAATCCTGGTTAAGAAGTTCGGAATCGCGGGCCAAAGGATCCTTGGACAGGCACTCTCTGGCGGTCTAGTGGAAAAGGGTCCCAAAATTAGCAGGGGGTCATAAAAAAACTTTGATAGCGACGAGACTACCTGGGGTTTGACTGATGTAGATTTGCTGGCATCATTATCGTAGTATGCGCAGTATTGACCACGGTCAGCTGTCACGGTGGGTGTGCTTTCGATGAATGATCCCATGAGATCCGCCCCCATGAATGTCGTGGATATTTGAGGGACAAAGATGTGGTTTGGTTGTACTTTGTGCAGAGTCATGGCTGAAAAGACAGAGAAAGGGTGTTAGCTAGTAATCTTCATGTGTGTCAACTTCCACCTGGACACTTACCAACTCGTTCATCCACCCCTTCTAGAATAAATACACTTCTTCCAGGGGCTTCATCGCTGCTAGATCCTCCAAATAGAGTAAAATCGGCTTTAGCAAACTGATTCAGGCGATGCACGGTGTCTGTATCCACCATTCCAAGGACTGATGCGACAGACGACTTCATGCGGAGCTCCAAGACAAGTTGAGCCTCTTCTTCAGTCAGTCTTTGCTGCTTAGCATTGGCATTGTTGATTCCTGAGGATCTCGGTGAGAGACTGAAAATTGAAGCTTCCAGAGCATTCGCCTGCAATGCACCTGTTAATGCCAGGGCAAGAAAGGTAGATAGCCAGCGCATCTCGAGTAAAGGAGGCTGGGGGTTAAAAGATGACTATTGTGGCAGGCGTGGCGATAGCCACATCAAGATGTCCCTCTCAAAAATTGATTCGCCTTCGTTGTATAACCGTAGCCAAAAGAAGACGGACAAGGATAGAAGACCGTTAGCTGGTCGAAGACTGGCCCTCCGATAAGATATCACGTGGTCTCACGTCAATAATACTTCGTTTTAATGTTGTTTATGTCTATGTATTTGGTTACATCTTGTGTTCAACCTTGTTTATTTTAAAGCATCGTGTACATGAAGGGACAATACATGTATACATGAGCTGGCACACCTGGGCACCTCCGCTGGTGACTCTGTGAATGTTAGTTACATAAGCCACCGATCCTACGCCGTGGAAACTCGCAGCGCATCAACGAGAAAATCCAACTCTTCCTTCTTTTGAGACTGAGATGATTCTCGAGTGACAATCCTTCTAGGGATTGGCTGTTCCCAATGCTCCGGCTCAGGTATCTGTTTCGAAACCCTCAAGCGCGCCCATCTTTCTTTCGCTTCCGATCTCGTCATGCCCATCCCAACTTCTTAACATCACCGAGTGTCCAGCATGTGAGGTTCAGGCGGCCTTGGATCAGGTGAGTAACGGCTTGTCTTTATCCCGAGATTGGTTGAAACTCCTTTGAGTCATACTGATACAGAAATCCCCAGGTCGTTTATCTCAAAATGTCTGCTATATGGCACCGCATTTCACTTATGGACCACATTCGTACTAGTCCGATTCGACGATGACACCGACGATACAGACTCATCCGCTGTTCCCGACCCGACAGATGCTGCTCCGCGTGACACCTCTCAGGGAAGTGGCAACAAAAGCGGAAAAGAAGTTGAAGATGAGGACGCGCTATTCATACCGCTCGCCTGGTCCAGATTACAGACAGGCGAGCTATACAGTACGTCTGATCCAGAATGGCAAGCGTTTGTCAAGATATCCAAAGATCGAAAGAAGCTTCAAAAATTAAGAGGTAAGGAATTCGTCTCAGTCCAATCATTCTCATTGGCTTACAGGTCCAGATGAACTCGCCACGATTGTCCTAGAGGGTGCAGAAAGTCAGATGTCGCAAATACTTGGAGGACCTCTCTCCATCACAGGGTTCTGGCTTGTTCACCAGTTTCCAAACCGTGCCCCTCCTGGATATGTGCGGTCAGGGTATGTATTCGCGACACCCGACGAGTGGATCAGTTACTGATGGTGGCCAGACTCGAGATCGCACATGACAGCGTATCGTGGGTCACTAAGCCAATGGACCCCGATGTGGGTGACAAGCTACAAATATTCATGAAACCAGTCCATATGGTACTTGCAATCAGAGATGCATATCTGGTGCTATTGTTACGACAACTGGATCGCCTAAGGAAACCAAAGGGAGAACCGCTGGATGCGTTGGATTTCTTAAGTGACCCGTCCGCCACGCCTGGTCGTGACACAGGAAACTGGATCGGTCAACAGGAAGAATCCAACATCCAACCACCCATGACCGACGGACTCAAAGAAAATATGCCACCCAACACCGAAAATTCCAATTATCATCCATCATCACTCATATCTCTATTACAGCGGTTGCCGTTACCTGATCTCAGCCCGGGATCAGATTTGCATTTGGCATCAAAGGCATTCAACTTGCGGCTAAACAATGAGCGGTCTCGGGCCCCAGGGTCTGCTCGTCGGGGTGCTTTCTTTGTTGCAGGCCCAGTTGGGCTAAAAGGACCCAATGGGTTTTGTAGATTCGAGGTGCGAGGCGAGTATGATCCAGCCAAACGCCAATGGCGAGCAGTGGAGATGACTCTGAAGGATCTAAATATGAGGAGACAGAGAGCACTTGGAAGTTAAGCGACATGTATCGAAGGCGACGTGTATCGAAAGGACATGTATCGAAGACACGCCGAAGCAAGGCGGAGCAAGTTCACTGCTAAAAACGTCTCATGTCGCTGATAGTCGCCAGCGCTAGATACCATGTACATATTTAACAAAATCAAGATGGCAAATATCTTAATTGTACAGCTGCCTTTTGACGTTGAGGGATGACGTGTGGAGGGGTTTATAAACGACAGCCCCTCATTCCTTATGTCTTCACTTTCCATCCATCTCATATTCGACATCATGTCTGTGCCTCCTAATTTTGCTGGGCTCAAGCTACCTGGTGCATCTCAAGAGACACCACACACTCTTGAAATGTGTATGTCCTCTTAGGGTTCTAGTTACAGGCAAACCAGCTGACTATCAACATCTAGATCTTGACTATGTCTGTCCTGTCAGTAAATTACGCAGATGGGTTGGGGTCACCTTCACTGATGTTGCTCTAGTTCTCGGCCAAGATGTTCAATACATTCTACACGCTCGAGCCAATGATCACTCAGCGCTATGGTTCTCGGCTTCGGGTTATATTTCGGCAGCATATACAACCGTGGCACCCATCGTCCACGTTGACTCATGAGGCCGGAGCAGCCATCCTTAGAGTCGCCCCTGAGAGATTCTGGGATTACAGTGCTGCATTGTTCAAGCACCAAGCCGATTTCTTCGATATCAGCGTGGTGCATGAAACGCGCAACGAAACTTACGAGCGATTGGCAAATATTGCAGGCACTGTGGGGGTGGACGAAAAGAAAGTACTTGATTTGCTAACCATTAGCGAAACACCCGGTGACGATGGGCAATTGAACGTTGGCAACCAAGTGACCAACGATATCAAGTGGATGGTCAAGGTAAAGCATCTGTCTTGTTGCCCACTGGGATTATTTGTTTTCCTCTAACACCGCCAAGGCGGATCGAGTAGTGGGAGTCCATGTTTCGCCCACAATTTTCTTCAATGTAAGGCCGCTCGACAGAATGATTATGCTCAATATGCTGACACAGAACCAGGGAGTAGAGGAACGTGGCATCAGTAGCAGCTTCACCGCTGCCCAGTGGGAAGAATGGCTGGCCAAAAACGTAATTTGAGGGCGCTGGATGGGCCATAGCGTCTGCGGCGAGAAACAGGCTGGTACTTGGTGGATAGCATAGAAAACCAGAATCTAGCGTTCCAATGAAGTGGTGGAAAAGGAGAAAATGAAATGTTGTCTCATTCCAGAACTTCAATTACGAAGCTTTTGTGGATCCTAGTAAGCATACTGCGAATGCATTTTTCCATACCATAAACGACCCCACAGTTATGTCTTCTCAAGGTTTCAAATGTCCCAGGTAACGCCAACAACCAGTAACTTATTGTTGGAGAGGAGGTTGATAGTTGAGAGGGCGTCTATAAACGAGTCAATGACAGGCTCAAAAGCACAATTAGAAAGTACCAACTTGAACAATAAGATATGAGGTTCTGGTTCATGCACCTCGTAATGCTCCCAGCCCAAACTCTAGGCGCATGTTGTTAGCCTCCACACACGCCCTCTGGCCGTATCCAACCCACCTGTGTGATACCCAATGCGCGCCATTCCTCCTCCCAAAGCAATTTCAAAGTCCCCTTGGAGCTGTCAAAGTAGTCCGTGGGGATTTTCTTAAGCATGTTCTTCGGAAGCTGGACATGGCGGTATTCAAATTTGTCGTCATTGTACCTAGGTGGCAGGGTCAATGCGGAATATTCTGTCTCCCGTGGACAATACGCTTACCTGGCCGAATAATGAATTGAGTCCACAAATTCATCTAGTTTCTCGCGCTCGGACTCTAAGAGGAGACGCGGCTTCTTGTTGCGTCTAGCTGGGTCGATGTCCATTGGAAAAGCGGAGCAGATAGAATTTTGGTGGCTGGATAAGATCAGCTATATGCATCATCAATACCTTAGTCAAGCAACCAAGTATATGGAGGGGGCGGTTTGGTTCAGCAACTTACAATTTGGATAATGCTCGCATGTAGCGGCAACTGAACTGGCAGGGGGTGCTTTGGAGAGGGTGGCCCTGGTGGATAGAATGGCAGTTGAGGGGGTCCCAGGGGTGAAATGACAAGGACGCGACGTGGAGAGAAGGCGTGTAGAACAAGCACCGGACTGTTTTGCGGGACTTGGGAGAATAGTGGGGAATAAGTGCCTGAGGTGTTTGTCCCGCCTTCACGTGATCCTGTATCAAGTTTGTTTATGTTGAGGTCAGACCAAGTCAACTCATATTATAATGAATGTCTTCATGTAGAGGCAAATTTATTTTGGCCTTGTGTTTAATTGAATAGATGTGCTCAAATACGCTCAATTACAACTCAATACCTCTAGATACGGCTAAATACTGCTGCATACTGCTGGATACCACCTTACTAAGCCGGGATGATCCCATCAGACGCGTCTACACGAGTTCAGGAATCCATGTCAATGACTCCCCTTGTATCATATCTCTCCTTGTAACTCTCTCATAAGCGTGTCTTTGGTTCTCTCCTCCGTCACTGCCATGTTCAGTGTGTGACACCTTACCACTTGCAACGCTATCATAGTAATCCGAAATGAGCTCCAAACGGCGATCAGCTGCTGCAGCTTCACCAGATGTGAGGCGCGTATCAAAGCGCCGAAAGATATCTGTAAGTTTCTGCTTTACCACGCTGTCGACTATTTGTTGGCAAATGTGAAACACACCACGCAGTATGGCAAAATGGATTGGTAGTACCCAAGTGTCCGTGGGCTATCATATTGCTATTGACTACGCGCACTCATTCAACCCCCTTGCCTCGTGTGTTTGGATTGCTAATTGAGGCTATCTGGCGAACAACAGGATGATGATCTGACCGGTGCTGAAGATACTAATCGCGCACTGTCGCATTTGGATTCAGATCCACCATCTGCTGAAGAGGATGAAACCCCGGGGTCGCAGGCCGAGTCTGAGGTTAGTTTTGAGGGCGATAGCCTTCAAACTGCGCAGGACAAGATCATGTCAGAGTTAGCCCGGCTGAAAGATTCCGAGTAAGGAAAACTCCGTCATCCGATATGTCTGCGGACGCTGACTATCCTGAACTAGTGGCGAAGATGTCTCTTATCCTTTTATTGGAAAACCAGACCGAAATCTCTACAAGGATTATTACGAGATCATTCAACATCCCGTCTCCCTCCGGAGCATTCAGAAGAGAATCCGAGGCACAGACAGCAGAAAGAATTCATCAAAAACAACCGCCTATCCTACTTGGAAATCCTTTGAGGAGGAAGTCAGCTGTATATGGCAAAATGCAAGGGAGTACAATGAGGATGACAGCGACATTTCTGTTCTAGCAGGGATTCTGGAGGCAAGTCTACACCAGGACATATTCTTGCTACGTCCATCCTTTGCTCTCTACTAACACTCGGGTAGCGTCATTTCAAAGAACGGGTTGCGGAGGCCAAAAGGCTTGTACCGGACCCCGTTCAGGTAGATGGAAATCCCGAGACGCCTCGCATCAAATTGAAGATGGGCACAGTGGTGCCAGAACCGACGGCGCAGAGGCTATCCCTGAAACTCTCTAGGCAAGGCTCCGATATTGCATACAAAGACAATCATCAACCATCCAGTGTCGCGGTCCATGATGGATCTCTGAAACGCCAACGAGACCATATCAGGACTGAATCTGCAGGTCAAGATGTTAGCATGTCTCCTCGGACAAGGTCTTTTCGAAGAAATATGGAGAGCCCAGGATCAAGTGCAGCAACCACCCCAGCTAACTCAGAACAGCACCAGGGCTCCTTGGCGGGTGCACAAGATATGTCCAGTTCAGTCAAGAACGAGACTCCCATGGCGATAGCTCACATTGAGACTGGCACTTCACAAAGCTTCCCCGGTTTATTTGCCGAGGCTTCTGCAACGGAGATCGCTCAACATTCTTCAGGCTCAGGTAAATTGCTTTCGATGGCTATTTTGGCTATCTTGCAGAACCGCGGGCTTTGCTCGGCTTCTTCTACTATACTAACATCATCTTAGCTCATGTGCCCTTTCCGCAACCTCTTGGCGCATCCCCTATGGAGTCATTTTTGAGGCGACCAGGTCAAGGTTTGAGCCCCGCTGTGATTGGCATGGTTTTAAAAACTAATTGTGGTCCAGACGCGAGCACTTCTTTAATTCGAAATGTTCAAATTCTCTCACACGCCTCCCTCTCATTGCAGCATAGTTTCTGTCTAGACGTACCACCCTCTTCGCGACTTTCGCAGCAGAATATCACTGTCAACCTTCCTGCATCACACAATTTACTAACGGTCCGGCCTCGCTTAGCGGCCAGTACTGCCCAGCGGCAGGTAAAGATAGTCGCACTTGTGGGTCTGCGGCGACTTCACGCCTCTGGTGATGTGAATACACTTGCGTATGATGTTCGACTCCATCCTGGCATGACTAGGATTGATTTGGAAGCTATCGTTGGACCGGCTACGGGGGTTCCCAAGTCCGGGCCACCCGGCTCAGATGTCGACTACGAGCGTGTAACTATGTTTCTCAATCTGCTAAGGTGAGGGGCCAGCCTTTGGGTTGGGGCCTACTTGCTGAGCATGGAACCAGTACGGTGGTTACGGATGTTGTTCACTGGGGCTTTTGTGATAGGTTTTGATGTCTCTCTGGAGCGCTTGTATTGTAATTTGATTAGCCCTCTCGGGTCTATGTGTACCCCCGTCGTTGTGTATTCTATACGCCCTTGTGACATGTCATGCGTGACATGATCCTACGATGTGGGTTTTTCTGCTTCCTACGGCATTGCTACCTATGACCCCCGCTGTTGGCTAATCGTAATATACAACACCAAAGATACGTTGGACTTGCGGTTAGGCCATATCGTACAACTTATATACTAGTTCTGCCGAGTGTTATATGTCGCTTTGGTACATGGCTTTACTTTACGACTGTTGTCATATTTCGAATAAATATATAACCTAATAGAGGGTGGTGTATTGTGAGGTCACGCAGCAGTCTAGGTTTAGGTACGTAGGCGAGGTAGAAGCCCTAGTTATGCGTGTAGTACAATACGGTCAAATTATATAAAGTGACTAAACGCTAGTCCTTCCCAGGACTATCGATAATTATTTATATATAGATTAGCCTAATTCGCGGGCAGTAAGGTTCTAAGTCATCTATTCGTGCCTAAAGCTAGTTAACATCCATTAGTCAGTCAGTGGTCCTGATAAGAACTTATAGCTAGCGGGGCTTTTAAAATATGTTGCTATTACCTAGGATAATCCTTAGGTCCCACGGCCTCTAACCTATATCTAACTAATATCAGGAGTCCTTAGTATTACCTCTATCAGGGCCTCTGCCCAACTAAGGATGTTTACTCGGCCCAAGGCATGAGTGAATGCCTTGGGACGTACGATGAAAGGATAATCTAGGACTTTATGTAAAGAAGTAGGGTTCTAGTGTTTACAGGATAGAGCCTGTCAACTAGGTAAGATGAAGATGCCTGGAAGCGAACAATATATTGGAGGAATACAGAGACTGATTCTTGGAGAACCGCTGGGTTCTCCGGGGCAGACTATTTAACATGGGGGATCAGCGTTACGGTGAGCCAACGCTGACGTGTCGACACCTATATGGTGTCGATCCTCTGGGAGTGCGAGAGATCTGTGCATGGCTTCTGAGGATTCCGTTACACTTTACCGCCTACGAATAGGCTAGTCTATATATAAGCATTCCCCGCTAATCTATAGAAAGGGCTAGCGTTTAGTCTCTTCATATAATAGACCGTATTATACTACACGCACGAGTAAGGCTTCTACCTCGCTTACCTACCTAAACCTAGAGACTATCACGTAGTCTTATAATTCTAAACGCTCTACTAATTAGGGTTTATCTAGTAGAACCTATATATTAACTATAGTATAGTGTCGCTTTTAGCGCTCTATCTAGGGGCCTTATACTAGCTAGGAATGTACCTAGTACTATCGAACCCTCAACTATAGAATCGATCTAGGAACTAACTAGGTTATTCCTACTAACTAAACCAACTGCCCCTAAATAATTCGATATTCCTATCTAGGTCTAGCCTATATTAACTAGGCTAGTTTAGGGCGCTATTATTAAATAAGACATAAAGGAACCTAAGTAGATAGAGTAAGAGGCCTATAATCTTAAGAGAGCCTAAGTTATAGAAGAACTCTAATAGGAATAGGGTTATTTTAACTAGCCTATTAATATACGACCGCTAATCTATATATCTAATAGTATCTAGTAATATAATTAATAGGGTACTAACGCTAATAAGTACGTACCAATTAGAGATAATCTAGCCACTAGTTATTCCTAGCGAAGAAGCTATTATATAGATTAAGTATGTTAATAAGCTATTTAAGCTTTATAACTTCTAACTACTATAATTAATATATTAAAAGTCTAATTAAAAGGCTCTATTTATATTACGCTATCGCGGTATTTAAAACCTATAAGGCTAATATTACCTATTAATCTATAATGTAAGAGATAATAAAAATTTTTTAAAGAAATAAAGAACTAGGCTATTAAATTAATTAATAAGTATAGGAATCTATAATAGGCTATCCTAAAGCAAGTTAATATCGTAGTCTAAAAGGAAACTAGGTCGATCTATAAGTATGCTACCTAATTGTTGAAATCGGTGGTCATGTAACGTATATACATGGGGGTTCAGATGTTCTTATCCACTCCATTTTTTGGGTCCCCATGCAAAATATATATATCACTTTTATAATACATGGCACCACCATTTTATGGTCTATAATAACATAATTAAATTTTAGGGTTGCTTAATAATAGCACTTTCGAAAATTCGCTCAATATTTTGTGTAATACCCCCTAGCCTTCCTCACTGCCTTTAAACGTCTTCCTATGCTTAATATTATTCAATTGGGTTCAAATCGGGTGAGTGTGCGGGTCAGTCCTCGACGTAAATTCCATGCGTTTCAAACCACTTTTGCGTCGCCACCGCTAGATGAATCTTTGCGTTATCTTGCTGAAATACTAAATCAGGGGTATAGATTGGCATCAGACCCTTTTCAAGCGCTTCAATATACGATTTTGAAGTATAACCCCTCCCCGAAGGCGATCCTTCGTCCCGTTCTATGATAATTAATTCTGTCCGACCACCTAGCCAGATTCCAGCCCAAACCCTTTGCGAAATATCTTTAACGTGTACTTTAGCATTCACAAGGTCGCGGCGAAGACCTTCGGAGTCCGTACGAAAGCACTATTGTGGTCTAAAGTTCGAGGTTCGCTGCACCGAACACTCGTCCGAGAAGATCCACGATTAGAAGCTTTCACGCCGCTATTTTCGCGCAAATCTTAGCCGTTTCCTTGTAAGAGAGGGCTTAATTGGTATCTTTCTTTTCGAACGCCGTTTTCCGACACCGAATCGCTTTAAAATCCGCTGTATAGTGGACCGAGAGGGGTGGCCGGGTATCGTAGCACTTAGCTATTTATAGGTCCAAAACGGGTGCCGACGGGCTTAAAGATATAGGCAGTGTGAAGCGCACTGGCTAATAATAGGCGTACGGCCAGCTTTTTCACGATTCTTGAGGGTGTCTTCTTCGTGGTAGCGCTTAAGCATATTGTAGATTGTCTTACGAGAACAGCCGAAATCATTAGCTAATTTCACTTACGAAATACCAGACTTATGAGCAGATACAATAGCTGACCTTTGTATAGCAGTAAGCTGCGCCGTTTTGCTAATTTTTGCGTCAATTTTTATTGCAATCGGAGCAATGGGGGAGGTGTAGGAAGAAAAATAAAAAGATGAGTTGGTTGCCGGGTCAAATTGTAGTGGGGCAGTGGGTAAGAACATGTGACTAGTATCTGTATTAAAGCTCTACTTTAATAGCTTAGAATAAGTTGCTAGATTTTATTAGCCTGAAGTCTACTATCCCTATAATAATAGCGTTATATATATACCCTCTCCATTCTGATAGAGGTAAGCTTATAATAAAATTAACACTAAACTATTTAGCTAGCCTTAAAGAGGGGATTAAGTAGTTATAATAACTTATATGACTTATAATGTCTAGCTATATTTTACTCGTAAGCTTTATACTATTATATATATTCCTTAATATAGTCTAGTCTCTTGTTTTATACTATTAAAATTAGCGGCTTATATTATTAGATATCCGTTCTTATAATAATGTCCCTCCTAAGAATTATTATAGTAAATATGTACATTTTTATATTAAAATATATATAGTCTTTAGGAATAAAAACCTAGTTATTTATACTAAGAATTCTATCTTAGGTTATTGTCTAAGTAGTGCAAAATAGCATAGTCTAGGTAATAGGATCACCTTTATATCCTCTATCATACTATTCAGATTTGGGGTTTCGAGTAGAGCCTTCTTCCCTATAATTATTATAGATATTTTCCTACAGGGTCGGAAGTATAGAATAGATGTTACTGCTATATATGAGTTTTATATCTGTATAGGTTAAAGGTATATAATTACCGACCGATTAGCGAGTCGTAGTAAAAAATAAATAGATAAATAACGGTATTTGTCTCGAATAGTTTTTAAAAATATTTATTCTATCGACTTCTAGCTAAAAAAAGGGGTTAGTATTAGCTTCTCGCTCTTAACGGCTATAATAGTCACTTTTTAGCCAAGGTCGATACAATACGCTCTTAAAATAGTATTATACTATTTAATATACCTTCGTATTTATCTTGTCTTTTATAGCCTCTCGATATCGGCTAGTTTACGGTGTTAAAAAATGTATATTCCGATCTAGTAGATTCGTAGGTAAAGCTTAGTATAAGTTAAATCGATAAATACGACTTGTAGTAGGCCTATCCTTAGGCCGGGAGGGTGGTATTTAAGTCGTTAAATATTATAAATAGCCTCGTAGCTACTAGTTTAGTACCTTTCGACCTGATACCCGTGGTTTTGAAGCTTAATATCCGACTTTATATAACCTTTATATAACCCCCCTCCCTCTCTACTATAGTAGGGATCTAAGCTTTACTTACAAGGTAAAAATACCCCGTATAGTAAATGCCGTTCACCGGTATACTTCTTCTATTAAGAAATTATAATAAGAGAACCTATCGCGCGCGTATATAGCTTTTAAGTAGATTATAAATGGCGCCTATTTAGCTATATATAGCGCGGCTATTTTACGTTAGATAAATTAATAGTTACGCCCCGCTAACACGAGAACTACCTTAAAAAAGGAGCCTAAAAGGAAGCGAATAGCCCTACGAAGGTAGTATTTTAGATTTAGAGATTATTAAGATAGCATTAGTTCTAGGAATAGGTCACAAAGTAGGTCTAGAGATCGTGGGAAGAGAGACGTATAAAGTAATAAATATGCTAAATATTCGCTAACTAGAGGTAAGGACTAATAATCGATATAGGAAGGACCAGGAGAGAGAGGGAGCGGAGGAGAGACAGCTAGCTAACCAAGGCCTAGTTCTTCTACTAGAATCACGTCACGTGATCTCGACAAGAGGCCTAGATAGTGATACCGCTTTATCCCTGACGCCGAATTAGGCTAATAAGAGGAG